AAAGTGTGAAGTAAAAATTTTGAAACATTGTTTATTTCATTACGTTTCAATGAGGTCATATTTTTGATGATGGCTCTGTTGTCTCGCCGAAACGTAATGAAATAAACAATGTTTCAAGATTTTTACTTCACACTTTGACTGAGACCCAGGAAAGATGATAGACCCATATAAATATCATAACTGAAATTTATTTAAAGTAATTTACAATTAAACATTTCTTCAATAGTTKGAAAGTAATAAAATCAGGAGAATGTTTTTCAAATGCCAAAACCTTAGCTGAACATCAAATTGTTATTGATCAAATCAATYTGTTGCTGATATTTTAATATGCTTACAAAGAGCTTCMTATTATTCGCTGATTTTACTAACCGACCAAAAGATGCAATATGATTTATTTTCGCCAAAATTGAAATTTCTCTTCACATATCGAGCGTTCATACASATTTTTAACGGTCTCCATTTGATTCAATTCGGTATCTAAACTTTCACGGATTAATTCCAGCTGTTTCGGTAAAAAGCAAGTTTAGAGAAATATTAAACAATCGCTATAACTATATGAGAAAAATGCATTTCTAACTAATTTGCTGGTTAATATACATTTTTTACTTTAGATACTCGTTTTTGTAAACTATTTTTATTTGAAATGTTAAAAACTGCATCTTATAAGTGGTTATATGGCTATATATGTTGCACGTAGGTATGTAACATCATGGTTAATTGATATAGATTTTCGAAATTTCTTCTTTAGTTAGTTTTAGTGGCTTTGTTAGCCAATTTTAAGATGGCGGGTATAGAACTTATGGAGTTTATTGTAACCTGGATCTCTTGATTCATAATTTTTGTGCTAGATTTAGTCTAACAGAGCTACCCTATAATTTTTTCCAATGTTTATTTACTCTGAAAATTGATACATTGAATATAATCTTTTTAATCTAGTGGTTTCATATTTATTTTATGTTCCTGTAATTTCGTAATTTTTGTCTGATGCAAGCATGCTTTTAATGTTAAGTTGCATCAGAGCAGTCACAATTTAGCCATTTAATTAATTCATTTCTAATTAGATTGTAATTTATTCATCAATACGGCCGTTTTGAATAAGTTGATTTGAATGTATGCACATTTACTTACTTTTTTGACACGATTTTAATTTTGCGTTATTCTTCTCCTCTTTATTAGTGCTTTTTGTTCTTGTAATTCTTCAACGATTTTTGTTTAAGTCGTTCAATTAATTTTTAATGGCGCAAGGTGTAATTTTTAGTATAGTTAGATTTATGACAAAAAGTTTACCTAAACGGACCCAAAACAAGTAAAGTACTGTTATATTATCAAAAAGCCCAACAGATATTAAAATTTATTGAGATAATATTTAATTTAGCGCAATTCGTGTTGATTACTAAACTTTCTGCGAGTTGGATTTCATGTTCAGAAATAATAAAAATCTGCATAATGCGGCCTCAAGTTATGATGAAGCCAAGTAAGTAAAAATTGTTAATTTATAATGTATAGCATGTATCGCGTTTTAAGAAAAAAAGTCAATGTCAGGCCCAAGGAACAATCTCTGATAAATTACTCAACAGCACATTTTTAAACAGTCGATAAAATGAATTAATAAAAGAGAATTCTTTTATACACAAAGCGCGTGAAGCGAAGAATGAAAGATAATTAATGGTAGTATCCAAGTTATTGTGATCATTAATATTGCCGTCAGCCCATCTAGTATATGGAAGTGACTGAACATGTTTAATTAGTGCTTTTCTCCCAAAGAAACTCTTTTGAAATCTTAAACTGTCGTTAACCAACTGTTCAACTATTAAAATTGTGACACCAAATGTAAACAACATTTGAATTTGATTTATTAATTTTATTATTTACTTTGTAGATTATTATTATCGCTAAATTTCATAAGTATTTTTTGATTTTCAAAATTAGTTTTAATTGCATTTTCCAATAAAGAGAGGCACAAAATGCATCTCCATCCAAATATTCTCAATATATGACAAGGAAATAATAAATCAGAACCAGAAAATGGGGAATAAAATCTGTAAATTCGCACATTTTTAGGAATGCACAGGTTAATGATTTTTGGGATTATAGTTTCGAATACATATTGAAACACTTTGTCGTTTCATTTTTTCTATCGCAATTTTGAACGCGTTTTATTTAGTCAAGTTGAGCAGCTTCTGTAAAAGAAAAAGCTTTACAAGTAAGTTATAATTTAACTAAATAGTAAAAGTTGCCATGCCTTAAAAAAAGGAAATTACGAAAATCGGCCTTACGTTAAGCCCATTTTCGGCCATATCTCAAAAACGCCACGAATTACAGTCCTCGTTTTGCCATATTTAGTTGAATAAATTAAAACACGATTTATTAATAGAAACTTGGTTAAGTTAATAGTGGTAGTTTTCACATAATAAATGAAATTTTCACATGTACATAATACAATCACATGTACATAAATTGTACAAAGAATCGTTGAATTTTTACATTTATTGAATATTTCATGTTAATATAAATGTGTAAATGGGCTCCAAAATTTTCTATTTATTGGCAACGATTTGATATTATTTCAACATATGTATTTGAAAATGGGACAAATATGATTAAACCTCTTAACTTTACCATTTTGTGCCATATTTGCGTTCGTTTTATCAAAATTACAAGAAATTAATAAACACACTCTTATAAAAGCCATGTATGCTGATACGATGAAGCTCTAAATCTACATAAGGAACATAATTAGTCGAATATGTATACAAGGAATTTGAAAATCAAAATGTAATTATTTGCATTATGCCTAATTCCCAATGCAATTTAACTATTGTGTCTAATATATATTTTTATAGAGTTTAACTTTATTGTTAGAGCGGGGGATAAAACCGACTAATATTTTATTAATATATTAACTCAAAACAAGAAATAGTCAATATAATAATTTTACACAAACAGCAAAATATTTTTAAACAACAAATTTTTCACTAGTGGATTAAGAAGCGGCTTTGTTCTTGTACCACTGGCTTACTTTTCCTTTCAGTTTCCATTTGATGGCGCAATTTATATACGCGGACATCGGCAGGCAATTGCCATAATTATCTATTGTAACAAAGCTGCGTAATTGCATTAGGAGTGTCATTGCCCAAGTGAACATTGTATCTTTAAATGCAACGATTGCATAGATCATGAAAGTTTATTCTTCAAAAAATTCGTTCAGTGATTAATAGTGAAACGTAACAATTGCTTTTACTGAATTGATTAACATATAAATTTAATGAATTGTTATCGAACTAAAACGTGAGGTATTTTCAGTAATGAATTCACACGAAATTGATCAAGCACTATAAACATTTACAAAAGTACTACATCACATAAAAGTTTCTAATAATAGCAAATAACAATAGTTCATTTAGGCATTTTATATATAATTTATGCCTTGAAATCCTCAAATACTTCCTGTTTTATATTTACAATATATGTATGCATTTATTGATTAATATATATTTTTCAATAGATTTCCCTGGAATGTGCTTTGCTTCCACCAAATGCGCCACAGTCGAGCCAGGCAAAACTTGGGAATTATATCCCTTCTGTGGACGTTCCACTTGCGTAGTGTCTGAAGATCAGCCACCAAGACTTCTGGAGCTGGTTGAAGACTGCGGACCTTTGCCGCTTGCTAATGAAAAGTGCAAACTTGATGAAGGTAAATTCACATGTTCTGAACAAAAACGAGTTGCCGGGGTTCCCTAACAGATAATTTACATGCTTATAAACTGTTTTGCCATTTCAGAAAAGACCAACAAAACTGCACCATTCCCAGCTTGTTGTCCCGAGTTCAAGTGCGAAGCAGGTGCCAAACTCGAATATCCAGAAATTCCAACTGTCGCTCCAGTTCCAGAAGATGCTGAAGTTAAATCGACCACCACTGCTAAATCTGCTTAAATAATGTCAACGTCTTTAAATAAGAGCCTGATTTTCTTTTCCTATTTCTTCATCCTGTTAGTAATTTGTTAATATGCTGCCACATTTTTCTGCAACATTCAAAATTACAGAAAACAAAAACGACGTCTTTGCCTGTTGTAATTCGTATTCAAAACGATTTTGTAAACTGTTAGTTAACTTTTCGAGCATCGTGTAGCTGATGCATGTAATACTTAATTGTGATACGTATTTAATTTTTCTTTTAAATAATATTTTGTTTTCGGTTTCCAAATTGGTATATTTTGTGACTAATAATGTAGACTTTTGTAGTTTTTGTACCAATTCGAAAATAAAAAATATATTTATTTACTTCATAGTGATTTTTATTAGTTTGGAATTGTAGATTCTTAAATTAACTTTCTGAGAGGTGTGTTTTAACAATATATTAACTTTATGGTTTCATAAAACGAGAAAAGAACGAAACCCAGCCAAATTATCAATAATAACGGTCCCAAATTTGGATCGCTGCTTCCGTACTAACAAACCAGGAAATACCCGTACTACTTCTATTTGTACAAAACATAAAGATCGTCTTGTCTCTTCTTCTCAAAAAAAATTGGGAAATGCATAAAAAAAACAAAAATATTAAATACGAATTATTTTAAAAATATAAATGGAAGCTCCGTTATGTTCATTATTGTCATCGCTTGAATTTTTTGCATATCATTTCCGGAACTGTGTTTACATACACATACGTACAACAAGAATATAGACAAAAATTACTCAAGATAAGAAAAATATAAATTTCTCCACCTTCCTCATTAGGAATCAATAAAGAGTAAGTTTCCATTAGCAATAACTAATAATATCAGGAAACATATCGGAAAAACGGCGTGACATTTAGGCACAAAGCTGTAAGAAAACTAGTTAGAAAAATAAAAGGTCTTTTGAAACGCAGTGGAACCTGCAAGTCATCTTATGGCGACCAAATCCATCCGTTGACATTCAGC